ACACACACTTATATATGTCAAAACCTCTTGATTGCAGAATTACTTAGTGCTATCAACAAACAAAATTACAGTAATGAGTGCAGTTGATTATGTAAGCACACTATAGATATTCTTCTACACTCAAGCCTTACTGTGCTGTTACACTTAGTTTTACATACCTCAATGTTGAGCCTACCCTGGAAAAAAGAGCATTCCTTCCTTGGGCAAACAACCGAATCTAACATGCATTAGTCTCATCATTAACTTGCCTTTTTCTAGTTATATATGCATGGCTTGGGTTGCAATATATTTCAACTACAAAATCAAACAAAAAATATTTTTACTGCATAATTAATTCCAAATCAATTTCTCTTAACACCAGTGGTAACTCTACACTAAATGACCTTATTGTAGAGGTGCACTTCACCATACAATACTTATGTTATACAATACTGAACAACACAGCAACATCTTTCAGGTTCAGTCTACATTCATCCTTCTTGGTATAATGGATGAAATATTGAAAAATTTTCCAACAAAAAGGAGTAACATTATATACACATCATACAAAGTTAAGTTTATGTAAGAACCATGATAACGATTGCATTACAAATGTATTAATTGCTGACAGTGCACCTCCTGAACATAACTCTAAGCCTTCACCATAGATACATTCTAGTTATTAAATTATAAATTACTGTTGAATTCTATTCCCAATTTGAAATCCATATTAATACCCACATTACCGTACTAATGAAGTGCATGCTAATACTGTACTGTCGAAACAGTCTCATATCAGATACATTTCTTGACAGACTTGTATATAATTTTTTCAACAAATGAGCTTTGTGTTTAGACAAAATAGAACTGAAAAGTCATTTTATCTGAATTTTAATGTCCTGTCAAATCAGTACATTATCAAAATCCCATAATCCTCAATATATTGCCATGAGTAAACTCACCCTTGCAGAAACAGCAAGGTGAGCACGAAGTTTGGAAAGCTCATGTTCCAAATGTCTTCTCTGTTTCTTTCTGCGTTCAAGCTCTACTGGTCCTTCATTTGCTCCATGAGACTTGGAGTGGAGATTAACTAGGGTGCGCTCCAGCATCTCCTATGGTGGAGAGTCAATGGGCTTAGAATAGCTCTTTTAACAGTACTGACAGCCCAAAAGATAGCCTCACTACTTCCTCAAGTATCTTTTCAGCCAATTGTGGATACTAAAAGTAGCAGTATTTATTAACCTGCTATCTTTTAAGTGATCTTGGAACAATGTGACTGGGAATTGATATTAGAAAGTGTGTGCATCTTTTCAGCTCATCAGTATATATCTTACCAAATCATCCTACATTCTGGGTACTGAAGCTTTTTGATCATGAAGATGCTGATATCTTGCAACTTAAATGCACGAAAAAATAAAATGCAAGGCCAATACTACACTGGAAGGCAAAGCTAGGGTCTTGTTTCATTGTCTTGATTTACCTTCTACTAAACGACCAGTGTCTTATTTGTGCAATTCTTTTTGTATAGTATAATAATGTTTATAAAATCTAAGCAGCAAAGAATATAAAGTTCATTTCTTAAATAAATGTGTGCATGAAAAAGCAATTACCAAGGTAACAAAACTAAACAATGGAGGACAAACTATTGTCAAATAGAAATGAAAAGGTTGTTCAAAAGTTTCAATGGGCAGCATTAAGCTTCTACAAAGATGCACAAAAAGCATCACTCAACCAACTAAAGCAACCCAAGGCCATGCAATGCAATACACAATAAACCAGAGTTGCAAATAGGTAAGTTTGTGAAGTAATGTATTGTTACAATTTTAAGTTGTTACCTCATGCAGGTGGCTAGTTATGCTATTGAATGCATTGAAAGATCTATTTTACTTCTTGGACTAATGAAGCAAAACTAATTACTTCCCTTAAAGTTTATCTACATAAGAATGTGTATACTGTACAGAAATGAATTACACACAAGTACACACACTCAATACAGCTACACATACACACTCAATACAGCTACACACACACACACACACACACACACACTTAATCTAATTTATACTATGTATACCACTTTCCAGATTAACACAGCTCATATACATCATTCAAAAAAGTATAAACAAACTGAAATAATTATAAAACACTAATTCTTCTGGACATTAATAATTCACCATAACTTTTGACATGCAATAAGAACATATAATGTCACTTATCGGTAAATGCACAGTACAGTAAAGGCAAAAATTTGGGTAAATTTTTGATAATGATAATGTCTGTAAACATATAAGACCGTAGAGAATTCAGAAAACCAGATTATTGCATTAAAGTTTTAGCTGAACTTCAAAATAGAAGAAAGCACTCTTCAACTACTGTACTATACTTTATAAATCTTATCAATACAGTCTAAATGTTTTTTGAAAAATAAAAAGTTACTTGTGAGAGTTGAAGTTCTACTATAACTGTTCCTTTTGCAAAATATAATAAAGCCATTCTAAGTGCTTCTGAATTCACTGAAAATCCAAATTATACTTTACAAAATATAATCATAAAAATTAGGCATAATAAAAACAAGATTTGTGAAGTTGTCCAATGTCCAGTGCAAATTTGTTTAAAGAAACAATCTGGGAGTCAGCATAAGATTATCAAATATGATCTTGGTACATATTAGCAACAGCAAAAGTGAAGATTTAGTGTGAAATTAATACAATTTTCGTGTTAATTGCACACCACCCAAAATAATTTTAAATAATACAATTATAATACTATTGCAGAATATTTTTAATACTGTGTTCTAAATCCAAGATCATTTCAATAAACTCTACTCCAAATATCATACAGGGTTGCTATTAGTAAAAATACTGCTCGAGAGTTTATCTCAAAATGTGCTTCTTTGAGCCTTTGGTTAATAATGTACAAGGTTTATTTACCCATCCAAAATTTGGGGAAATAAAGTTTCATACATTTATGACTCAAGGTTAAAGATAGCATATTTACAGTTAAATACAGAAGCAGAAGTGGTGAGGTGAACAGTCACTGAGACACTGCTAGCTACTAGTAGCGTGATGTAATCAGTGCTTCGGACAATACACCACTTTAAGGATATTTCAAAAGGGTTTTGCTCTTTTATTAATAATTAACTAGTGTACCTCCATGAAAATCCTTTAAGTGCCTGCACTGCCCAGTAACCTCACATTTAACCAACACAAAGCACCAAAAAGGACCCAGAATCTAACAAAGATAATCTTCTGATACCCAAAAGAGGAATAGTTAAAGGTCCCGTCAATCTAGGAATGAAGGATATACAGTGTTCGAACCTTCTCTCTCTGCAAGCTCTGAATGGTCAGTGATTCTTGATGTAGGTTCTTGTCCAACTTATACAATTGCATCACTTTTCCCTGCAAGTTTAATGTTACTGTATCATATCACTTTTCTTAATTAGCAAATGATGCAGCAATTAAATAGTCTTCTTAATGATACTCTCCTTATTTAATGACAACATACATACACCACGTAATAACTCAGTGACAATGCATGTCTGTAAAACTATATGAACTTTTTTTACTTACAGTGCTACTAGACTGATACAAACAATAAACATGGAACTAAATATTCAACTCTGCATACACTCAAATCTCCTCAATTTAACCTCAGTTACAATTGAAATTTCTTATTTAAGATCTATGACTACCCCGTTAACATCTTTCTCTCAGGAACTATACTGTATGTATTGGGAAACTGTTCCTGGATTATTAGTTGTTGTATCCTTGACAACTATTATGAAGTAAAAATAAACGGAACTGGAAGAACATCTGCTGATGAAACAAAACTGAAAAACAGTACGGAAAGTGCATTTCTAGAGTTACTAATCTTCAGAATATCAATATATGCAGCATCCCAGTCTTAATCCTTAGGTCCTGGGTGACGTTCCAGAACATCCGACCAGCGTGCCCCGGGTAACGTTCCATAACGTCCACCTATTTATCTATTCATTTATTTATTTTTTAAGTTGATTTTTTCTCGATTTATCCCCGAGGACTGCCAGCAGCACCCTAACCCGAGGCTTAAGGGTTAAGGAATCAGCATAAAATAGAATCAAAACTACTTAACCATATAAGGAGACATTATACTCCATCCAAAAGTGGTTATAATAAAAAAAAATCCAATAAATCCCAAGTTGCCATTTTATCTTATTTTCTGAGATTATATTAAATGAGATTTGACGGGAAATGCAGTTACAACATGAGTCATCCACACTAGTCAAGCAAAGACTAGAGAAGCTTCCCTATACCTACCTCAAGATCATCCTGGTCTGCTGCCGCCAACTCATACTCCTGCAGTTGTAAATCTTCTGCTACTATTCTCCTTTCTTGTATTCTCCTTGAGAACTGAAGTGAATCATAGCCATTTGCCTGTTAAGATGATCATAAAAGTCAATGTACAGTACTGCCTCAATCTACAGATACAGTACTACACATATATTTACAACAAGCAATTTCAGTTGAAGAAAATATTTTCATTGTCAAGAAGTTTGATAATGTAATAAAACCACTGAAAATAACAACTCTTGCTAAAATTAACAAAAACAAATACTGTCCATGTATTTATATTAAATTTCTGCTATTTCTTGAAGACTGAATACAATCAGTGTTTAAATGAGGAACCTAGTACAGAATAAAATCATTACTGAACTAGTGCATGAAACTGCATTTATAACAGGTAACAAGAATGGATATAGACTACATGGAGCTTCTCTGCTTAACAGCATTAATATTTTATATGTACAGTACTGTATATACAAAACACCCTCAATATTTGCTGTGGTTAGGTTCTCAAAACCCCCCACAAATGCAGAAACCTTAGCTCAATGGAAAAAGAGGATTAGGTTCTTGGTTCAACTGAACACAGGTGAAAAAATTATAAATGTTTAGAACAAAGATTATGATAATAATAAAAATCACAGTGTCAATAACCTGTAGACCAACTGTTGTACCTTAAAGAAGAATTTACTGTGTATGTATTAACATCTACATACAGTACCATATTAAAAATAATTCTTATTAAGCTTAACATTCCTAAAAGATCTACAATAGTACTGTACTGGACAACAGTGCATACAGGTAATGTCATTCTAATGATACCAACTGTTCAGGGTTTATTTTGCAAGGCATTAAATATGAATGTGCACTGACACAAGGAAGACACACCACAGAAGTTGGTTCCTGCAGCTGAACATCAATATACAGTGGCTAGGTTACTAAAATTAATTTAAAAGAAGTGTAAATACATGGTGACACTAGACTTACCGGACAGTATGAACGAGTCCGCCTAGGATCATGTTGGGCAACAAGTTTGGAGTCTCCTCCTCGATATAGAGATCCAAGTTTGACCATATTGTCCACCAGGTTGATCAATGGTTTACCCATTTCATACTGCTTAGAAAAATAATATTTTGTAAGAAACAAAATTTATGACAATATCCGATAAATGTATTAACAAAATAGGTTGCCCGACCTTATACAGCACTCAGTAATTCCTAACAATCATAATCAATATTCAATGTTATTTATGAGCATATTTTTTAAAATGTAGTACAGTACTTTATTTCTTGAATTTGAAGACAAAATTACTCATATCTTATACAGTATTTGTGAATACATTAAAAACTTTGACATGAACTTCTGGGTATCTGAATGGAGTCTATTTTAAACATAAATAAAGGTAACGTTTTCACAAAATTTTGATTCTTCAGGGCAGACTAAAGTTAACTAAATAAATCAAAGGAATGAAAAGTATTTGTACATGTATGAGGAATCCATGATATCTAAGCTAGTTTGTTTGTCAATGAATGTGGGGGGTAATAAAATATATACAGTAGAGGTGACGTTAACAGAAAACAGAGAGAGGTGAAGAAATTAGTATGAACAAGTGTGAAGGTAAAACGCCAAGACAAATCTGGAGTAACTGGCTGAGAACTGGAGTGTAAATTTAAAAAAAATAAATGTAGAGATGCTGATATGAAGAGATATGGAAGAAAAACACTCGAACAAATTTCATCAGCGGAGCTTACTCATTTAAATATCAATTCATAAGTTGCCTGTTTGTCAAGTAAATTTGATATAACAAGAATCTATTCCCAGGTAAGTACAGTGAGAGAAGTGAAGTAACAAAATATTAATGGGTAATGCTGCAGTCAAGTGTAGTAACATATATGGGTGAAGATTTAACAATGAATGGTGAATAAAGAATGAATCATAAGGTTAGAAAATTATGTGGTAATGAAAATCTAAAGACAATATCACTTAGGGAATGGTAAATGATGAGATAGAGCAGCCTTGACTTTTCCCTGAAGACACTGGTGTAGGTCAGAGGGAGGAGACATTTGGGAAGGTTAAGGGTCGTGATATATCGGACCACCACAAAAAATCCTTGGTATCCAAATTCATGTGAGGGTACACAACCTTCCCAGAAAGTGTTAAGATTTTGATAATATGAAAGATTTGATAACTGTACCTGCTTGTCTAGGTCATGGAGGTGGTGATTGAGGCTAGCGAGGCGGCGCAGGTGTTCCTCACGGTGCTCCCCATCCAGTTGTGCAAGACGAGCCTGAGATAGTGCATCAGTCTAAGTCACTACAGTGGTGGATGAACACACTAATATGGTGATAGCTCTAGAGAAGTGATTTTTTTTTCCTACATCCCCAGGAATACTATGAAATTAGCCCACCAACTCTGAAACCATTATGGTAACTATCTGTAAACCTCCACACTGCAAATCTTCAACATATTATATTTACACATTTCCAAACTTCTTTATTCAATGTGTGGAACTAATTTTCACCATAGGCTATAATATAATCTTTATTTTTGTTCTGAGCAAAATTAAGTAGATAATGCAATTTTAACTTTTTATGACTTAGAATACCTGTTCATGTTCAGCAGTAGACAAATTCATTCTAAAATTTACAAAATGCTTGATAAACATATTCAAATTCTATACTGGTAAAATTCTTCTGATGAAAATGCATGCAAATTGGAATAAATCATATTATCTTAACTATGAAACAGTCCATGAGTCCTGACTGAAGTGATCAATTAAATGATATTCACTGATTTACTCTGCAACAAACCTGGACATATTCGTTCTAACATAAATATGGCTGAGAACTGTACAGTAATTGTAAGTGATATAGTATCAAGTGGTGCCACAGTAACAGCAGCTTACCTATTGTAATAGTTACTATTCTTCAATATGAAAGTCTTACAAGAAGAGTCCTGTAAGATTATCTTCTTGCCTAAGCTGCTGTTCAGTACAGTACATGAAATGACTGTGTGCTCTAAGTTATATTATCGTCAGTTGGCTTTCTTTACGTTTCTTTACAGTTAATGGATAAGTTACTCGATGTAGCCAACATACAGCATCAGCAAAACTAAAATGATCATTCATGCACTAAAATTTCTTCTTATTCTAGATTAATTTAATGCAGTAATTCAAGCATTACTTCACTGGTTATAATGGCAAGCATTCATGAATATTTGTTTATAATATAAATATAGGTTCATTAATGTCTTCAAATCTCAAATATTCAGAAAAATAAGCAGCTGACTAGATTTCCCAAAGCATCTATACCAGTAGTCTGGTTCTCTGACTTTTGATTGCTCAGTGAATCTATAGTCAAACAATTTTAGACTCCATCTTGAACCACCATCAAAACATTATCCATTACCGGTAAGTATCTCAGTAAATGTATGTCCAAATAATATCAATAAAATACCTACAGACTCTAACACTTAGAAAGGTCTTGCAATTCTGAAAAGTGCAAATTTACCAATTTTTCAAGAGGAAACGTTTAGGAATTACTGAGACAATCATCATCGTCATCATCAATGTTTTATGGCTATTTTTAACACTTGTATTGGTTAGTTGTGATTACCTGATGGCAGCTCTCCATGCTGCATAGTCTATTGCATTCTGTGATGATTTTCTACCAATATTCATAAATACATTCCCTGAGATATAACAGAAGTGCAAAACCAATGTATGTTTGATCCTTGTCTTATTAATGGGATGGTACTGTACAATTACCTGTGGACTTTCAGGTTCTCATCAGATTACCAGGTACCCCTTGCTGATGACGGTTCAAGAGGAAATCTTAATTTTTCTGACTGTAGATAAGTGTAGGTATTTATGCCAAGGAACCAGATTACTGTGCATTGATAGTCAACCCACTTTTAGCTTCAAAAAACATAATACATCTTGTTGGGCCCCTCAGCCATACCTGAGGTTAAGGCTATTGCTAAGAAGCGGTATGGGTCTGAAACTTGCAAGGCATACTTTAAACACTACTGTACAACTATTTATACATTAATTAGCTTTATTTTATTACATTTACTGCTACAATTTAGGATTGTCTACATTTAATGGTGTAATAACAGCTTACAAAAAAAATCTGGCTAATGAAATACAAAAGATGATAGCATGCACTAACATATTTTACATCATGCAACTACAGTACATTTGATGACAGAAGCCATGCAACATGGGAAAAAAGCCAAAATGAAGCAAAATAAAGTAAACATATACACGAAGGGAAGCACTTTTGATTAAGATGACAATGAAAAATATAGAAAGTTCTGTTGCAAGCAATACAGTCATTGGGACATACACATAACAATGCAAAAAATTAGCTTTCAAATTAAATACATGAAAGACATCTTATCTTACGAGTTCCTAGCATAAAATATTTTTTTTTCAGTGAGAGACTATGCCGACGCTAACCTGTCGTGTCATATGGTGAGGTTAGACTGTTAGAAAAAACACCAGTGACCAGTATCTGTGATTAGGTGGTTAGCAGTGCCCTGAGCGTCGATTAGTCGGGTTAATTTGTCGTTTGTCCCCCAGAGGAAGAACACACACCACCGGGGGGGGAGGGGGCACATACGGGTGGAGTTTGTGGCATGGGCGGCGAGGGGGCGTACCTGGGAGTCTCTTTCAAGGCGAGCATGGTGTCTGGCTGACTGTAGCGCCGAGTGATGTCGCCGTAGCTGAATGAGCAACAAGACCAACTCCTCATGAGTCTTGCCCAGCAGCTCCCCTGCGCTTACTCCCTGCAGCCCCCGCACCTCTACGCTCTCTTGTACCGCAGCCGCTGTCGTTGCTGCTACTGACTGCTGGTGCTGGTGGTGGAGGTTGTGGTGATGATGATGGTGGTGGTGGTGGTAGTACGGGACGGTGTTAGTAGTGGTGGAGGAGGTGTGCTGCGGCGTGGTGTGGAGGGAAGCCGGACGCTCCCCACCACCCTCCCGCCCGCTCAGGGCACGTCGAGCCCGACGCTGCACAGGGGGACCACAACCCATCAGTCCCCGCACACTACCTAACACGTATACAGACACATGCACACTCACATACACTGCACTCATAATCATGTCAATACATACAAACTATTCTTGCATTCACACAAAATATGAATACCCTGGTTAGTATCCCCTTCCACTAATCATGCACACACTTGACATTTAAGTCATCAAGTGTAACATTTTTCAGTAAACAATCACACAAGTACACATACAACACATGCTATGGCACAAACCTTTCACATACAAATACCGGCCACCAAACGTGTGTCTTTCATCCTCTTTACACATGTATCACACCTCTGTCATCAAGTGTTCCTCACCCTTTCTACCTTCTCCCTCTTACACATCTTTTGTCATCCCTTTTCTCCAACACATTATTTCTCATGTGTTTCCCAGTGTAGGTGTGGATGCTGATGGTGCTAAGCAGTTGGGCTAGAGTTAAACCTGTCCTGCACAAAACACCAATATTGCCCACATTTATGAGGAAATGAAGCACTCACCAACACAAGTCTGGCAAGCACATTGTCAACACACATATATGCAAACAATTATACTGTACTGTACACAGGAGCACATGCACACCCATGGACATATACAAACCCATTCACACAACCTCTTTGTCTTTAGACAGTGTGTGGGAATTCAGTGCCAGATGATGTTGGATTCAGTTTCTTTAAAGGGAGGATTAGTCTTTGGAGTTAACAAACATATTGTAGGGGAGACGTTCTGGTGAAAAATTATACAAGTGATCAGTTTACCACTCTTATAGTGAAAAGGTCTGTTTCTTATAACATCCTGGTCACCAAATTCTCAAGTCACTCTCAGGGTATATGGCATGAGCTACAGCTTAATGCTTGAAAGCCGTTCACTGGCATTCTGTGAGCTCACTCAGTCGACAATGCTCTATTATGCTACGTTTCATGCAGTATGGGATGGATAGTAACTGCAATATTCTATCGTGCTGAGCAGCATTTCTCTTTATTTTTTGAGCATGTAAACTTCACTACAATACAGCCCACTGCATTAAGAAAAACCTGGCTCACCAAATCTGCCAAGTCACACACCTTCACTCCAGTTAAAATATAATGCCAGAGCTCACTGAAATACAAAAGAGGCAGCCACAACTAAAATGCAATGCTATAAGACTCAAGAACACATTAGCTAAGCTCTGGCTAAAAATATATACTTTTGGATCAGGTACAGCCAAATGCATACCACCATAACAGCCACTAACATACCACCAAAACAGCTAAATGCATTTTACCAAGACAGCCAAATACAAACTGACAAAACAAAGACAACTTTCTTACCCTACTACTCATAAAGATCTTTCAGTATTTTACAAAGGAAAAATGGCATCTTGGTTCCAATGAATCATGTTTATACTCTGTGTAAGGGGTAGAGAGGGGAGGACATCTATGGTTCTGGTGAAAAATAACATTAACACCTCCAAAACAGTGACCTCTGGTGGTGGGCAATATGGTCATGCAAGTCAAGACTTATGTCATAATGTTAACCTATGTTATCCGAGCTAACCTTAACCTGTATTTTCCAGCCTCTTTTATATAACTGCACCTTTCCCTAGTTACTTGAACATAACCTCTGGTCTGTCACTTTCTGCATCAACCACACATATCTCCCGTAAGTCTACAATAAATCCCAATTGAATTCCTAATTTTCTATACGACCTCTCCCCCTTTTTCTGTTTTTTTTTTTTTTTCATTACGTACCCTCACCTGCCATTTCCTAAAGCTTGAGATACAACTGAGCTCTACTCTCTACACTTCACTAGCCCGGCATTGTGGTTTCTGGCAACTTAAAGAAAAATACCTTAATTCTCTTCAGTCGTCTATCTTGTGTTTTTATGCAATGGAACAGGTCACAAGTTTCCTGTAGTCTAGCCTGAGCTGATCTGCTACTTAAAAAAAAAAAACAGACCTCCAGTTTCTTCTTCCCTACCACACACAATGCCAAAAAGTAAATTTTGAATAAAAATGACACTGGGCCAACAAGGAGATGGAAACTTTGCAGTGGAAGGCAGCTACCAAACAGGGAGGTACTACTGCCTGGGAAGATATTGGAAGCATAATGTGTTGTCTAATGGTAGACCCTGCTGCCATATGGCATCACGAAAATTGTGACCAAGTCCCAGGTCGCTGATCTGACTTTCTGCTTCATTTACACGCAATTACAGGGTCTCAATTGTTTCTCTTACCATTGACAACACAACATACATATATCATTTCTCACTTTTGATCTTTTTTTTCATTTTTGTATTTATAGTTCTTTATTATTAAAATTATTATTATTATTACAGTTACTGTATTATTATCATCATTATTTTATTATTTTATTTTTGTTTGTTTTATCATAAATTTTATTTATTATGAATTATTATGACTATTATTATTTATTATTATTATTATTATTATTATTATTATTATTATTATTATTATTATATTATTATTATTATTATTATTATTATTATTATTATTATTATATTTTCGCCCCCCAGGGCCCGATGTGGGTCAGTGACCTATGTCCGGGTGGGCTAATCCCTGTGTGTGTGTAAAAAAAAAAAAACCTTTAGAGCGCCACTATAAACATACCTCTTCACTGGTAACATTGAACTTATTGATACTGTGGAATGTATCAGGTAAACCATTGAGTCTGGACATGATACTGTACAGAACCTGTACTGTACTAAGCAAAAGAATGAGACTGGCCTCTTGTTAAGTTGCTTATTACATACAGTAATGTACTGTATGTATTTGGTTACTAGAGACAGGAGACATTAACTTTGATACAACAAAATTCTTTAAGGTACTGTACAGTATAAGGAACAGTACTTGTATTTTATACAGTACAGTATAAAAGGCAAAAACACAAACTATAATCCTCTATAGTAAAAATAAATGGTGCAAAAAAGAAGACGGAAGTAAAAACAGCTACTGGTAAATTTCACCACTTTTAGAAAAAGGAAAGGTCATGGTCTCTTGAGTGGTGGAAGTATGTGGAGGACCACTGACCCCACCACTCTGTCAGTCAAGTCCCCAGAGGAACCTCCTGATGGTGCTGCAGTAGACCAGGGGGAATAGGAAAGGCTGAAACTGAATTTAGATACTGTAAAACAAGCAAGAGATGGCGGGGGAGTGTGAGGATATAAAGTGACAATCTATGATTTGTAATAACAGTAGTTAATGACTTGTAGTACAACACATTGCTGTAAGGGGGGGGGGGCCAGTTGAAACAAATTAACTTAACAGCTGTTCCCTGCTAAGGAGAAGGGAAGTTCCATACTTTGCACAGCAGACAAGCTATAAAAACATGTGAAGATCCTATCCACCACACTATCTTACACACCGACCTAAAAGCACTGCTTGGGACAGCCAGCACAGTAAGGCCCACACTATCCTACGGTCCAACTAATTACCCAAATGAATAAATCGGACTGCCAATCACTTCTCGACTAGTATTTGGTGTCACAAAGTCACAAAAAATTGGTAAACTTAATTTAATCTGAGTTAATAGATCGAGTGCATGTACCTAACCTAACCTAACCTCGACTAGTATTTGGTGTCACGAAGTCACAAAAAGTTGGTAAACTTAGTTTAATCTGAGTTAATAGATCAAGTGCATGTACCTAATCTAATCTAATCTAATCTAATCTAATCTAATCTAATCTAATCTAATCTAACCCAACCTAACCCAACACAACTCAGATTAAATTAAGTTTACCAATTTTTTTTACTTTATGACACCAAATAATAATCGAGAAGTGATTCACAGCCCGAATTACGCTTGTACGACCATCATTTGAATTTATTGCGGCTACATTTGGCTACATTTGGGTAATTCCTCGCTCCGTCGGTACATGCACGCGATCTATTAATTCAGATTAAAGTAAGTTTTCCAATTTTTTGTGACTTTCTGACACCAAATACTAGTAGAGAAGTGATTATCAGTCCGATTTATTCATGTAGGACCATTATTTGACTTCATTCCGGCTATATTTGGCTACATTTGGGTAGTCGGACCGCATTTTGACTCCGCCATGAAATTGAGAAATTTATCCTGGGGCAGAGCGTCCAACCTGAGGACTGCCAATACACGTGAGGGACAATAACTACCCTTCCCACTCCGCAGCACAATGACTCCTCTCACAAACTATTTTTTCTATTAGGTCAACAAATTGAAGAATCACACAGAAATGTTCAGCACTCAGGGAGGTACAGAGGCAGAGTCGAGCTCATCACTTTCCTCTGGCAATTTCAGACCAGTGGAATGTAATTAACTTTGCTCACCAGCCAGATTACATCCCCAATACTAAACATTTACAACCTTACACTTTAGTTTTGTTAGTGGGTTTAAACAAATAAATTATGATTTTTTTCGTCCACTGGTCAATATGTTTCTGCCGGAAGGGGGAAAATGGTCATACAAATATGTCAACACACTACCTGTCAATAAATAGATCTAACATAATTTATTTAGTTTTTGTAGTTTACTTAGTTTAGTTAAATAGTATTTCATGCCCTAGTTATGTAATAATTATTATATAATATTTTCTAAGCTAAAATAACTAATTAGATTGAAATAAACATGCTCTAATATTTTAGTTGCTACTATCTATTTAATTCAATGTGCATTACAAATAAAACACAAGCAAAATTCATGGCCAAAAATTATTCCAAAATCCAAGCTACTGTACAGAGGTTTACCCTAAGAAGTCCCCAACCCCATAGCAAAACTACTGGTTCAAGCAAAATTGCACTTATGCTCCCAAGGCGTAATGCCCATTAAGTATGCACATACACCATAATCATACATACCCAAACAAACAATAATTATTTAAAGGAATACCACAATACCACACAGTCCTACTCGTTCATACACCAGACAGCAAGTACCAGACTGTGATAATTTTGGATCAACACATCTGCCCATGAATATTGATTACCTTAATTTGTTTACCAACATGACAACCACATAGACCCAGACAGAGTTAAAGACCAGTGACTTACTTTAGAAACGGTGAGCTCAGAGTCTGAATACTGTTGTTGGTGGATGTCATTGGGTACTCGACCATTGAGTCTTTGGTCGTGGTGACGAGCATGAGTGCCATAAGTACCATAATCCTGCGTTTTGTATTCCTGCTGATGGTTCTTGTAGTCCTGTTGGTGGTTCTTGAAGTTATGGTAGTCCTGGAAGTCATAGTGGCTGGGTCCGTAGGTGCCGTTCATTCTGGCACGGTGACCATTGAGGGTGTTAGGGTTGGCTGTGAGTGTCTGCTGGCTCTCCTGGTAATTTGGAGGCCGGTTGTGAGCTTGTTTAAAGTTATTAGGATAGTTAACATTATCCTCCGGGTAGTTGTGAGGGTAGTTAGAACTCCCGTGATAATTAGTGTAAGGCCCATTACTTTGGTAATTCTGCCCAGGATATATTTGATATTTGCCGTGTAAGTCGTCACTCTTATAATGGTGGTATTGGTTCTGTGAGTGAGGATGAGGGTGGTGTTGGTAGTTCTGATGGTGGGCATGTGGGTGATGCTGGTACTTGTGATGGGCATGTGGGTGGGTGTGGGTGTGTGCAGATCCCTGTTGACCAGAGGAGTTAGGGGCGTTGGGATCTGGTCGGCGAGGTAGACTTTCTCCCACTTTGACATCTGTAACATGAGAAAAGCATCCATTAAGGAACTGTACAGAATTGTCAAAAAATAAGATCATATATACATGAAAATATTTGCCTTTAAAATAAAAACTCTTGGTTCATGTTCGTCCATTGGCTGTCCGCAGGTTCCCGCCAAGTTTACCTGAGGTTATACTCATTACTTAAAGAGTTCAGTTATGTCTTCCTTTTCTCCTCCTCCTTGTAGGTTAGGTTAGGTTAGGTTAGATAGGTTGGTTCTTTTGGTATGAGAATAGGTTTTCTTTTGTGTGTTTTATTTTTATTTTTTTTTGTGTTTTACTCAAATCTGACCTCCATTTTTGTGCAAATTATCCTTTTGTTAAAAATGAAGATGGTATTTTTTTGCAAACACCTCTAATTTGCACAAGAAATGAAGGTCAGAATTGAGTAAAACACCGAAAAAAAAAAATATATATATATATATATATATATATATATATATATATATTCCCAAACCAAAAACTGAGAACAGCCCAATGAACGAATATTTACCAAACTTTCCTTTAATGAACAAAGTAAAGTGACATGTATTGCTACAGTGAAAAAACATGCAAGTCGAATTGACCTGATAACCAGTCAGCAGCATCTGTCTATTAACCCTTCAAGATAAAAGGAGGTAGTGTGGGAGGTACTGCATCAGACTGCCTTCACATTTCAAACACAGGTGCCCTTTCACAGCTCAGTGAATTGGGGTCGCACTAGGCGAGAATCAGCTACGCGTAGGAATGGAGACGAGTAATGTATCTGTTTGGGCTCAGAAAACGAAAGGCGAATTGTTTTCAAAATAAAACGAACGCGAAATTTTTGGTTTGGATTTTACCCTAACCTAACCCAATCCAAGCTCACCTAACCTAACCCAAACTAAACTAACCTAACCTCTAGCAAAATCTCGCTTTGTTAAAAGTAACAAAAAACTTTCTCTCTAAGGTAATGTTTTCCTCGGGGAACAGGTTCACTCTTACCTCCTTCTGGAAACTTTTTACCATTAAAGAAGAACAAAGAGGCCCCCCCCCCCCGCCAAGCGCCCCCGTTTGCCACCACATTTAAAAGGTTAGAAAACGACATGGCTACTCTGGTAATCAAGTCAGTTTTTTACCTTTTGGAATTTCACATCAGTTTGGGTTAATAATAATAATAATAATAATAATAATAATAATAATAATAATAATAATAATAATGATAATAATAATAATAATAATAATAATAATAATAATAATAATAATAACAATAATAATAATAATAATAATAATGATAATAATAATAATAATAATAACAATAATAATAATAATAATAGCTGTAGAAGGTAAAACACCATTATCTCTCCACCCAACGACTAACAGACTAAACAAAGAGGTTAACAATATTGTAAGACATCAATACTCAAGTATAAACTTATTTCTATCACCACCTCTTTAAGGTTCGATCCTAAATACAGCATAAAATATAACGCATTAAAGACACGATCAATTATAACATAAGACTATCACTTTTGTCGGCCACCTGTCACCAGCTTCAGGAGTCAAGTGATGGCTGGCAGACAGGACTGTCACAAGACTCACAAGTCACAACACAGTTTTACAATTTCTTGTTTCAAAACTTTAGATAACCTTGTAACGCTTCCCTCTGTTCTGTCCTCTCTAACCGGGTGTCTCCACCTCACTGAATCTTTTTTCCTCCTTCATCTGTCTCTCTCTCTCTCTCTCTCTCCAATGTCGCCTCCTCTTAAATCCATCTCTTCCTTCTCTTCCTATAATAGTCTCCTTCTCCACCCCTTTCGCCCTCATACACTCGTCTTCCCTTTCTCCCCCTTTTCATACACCTGTGTCCATCTCCTACATCCTTTAAAAACAGGCAGGAAGGAGTGTTGACTGAGGTGGTGGTGGTCGTCACTCGTCAGGTTCCTTCACCCACTTGAGGGGTTTGTGAGGAGGGGGGAGAGGTTTGTGAGGAGGGGTGAGGAGGAGAGGTTGTGAGGTTGTGGGGAGGAGGTTTGTGAGGAGAGGTTTGTGAGGAGGTTTGTGAGGAGGAGAGGTTTGTGGGGAGGTTGTGGGGGGGAGAGGTTTGTGGGAGAGGGGGAGTTTTGTGAAGAGGGAGAGAGGTTTGTGAGGAGGGGGAGAGGTTTGTGGGGAGGGGGAGAATGTGTGAACGGTGGTGGTAACACACCCTCGGGTTATAACACCATGTATTTTTCCTGTATCTCCCTCATCGTCAATTTTCCTAAACTACAAATGTTTACAAACAAGTGAGAGACTCGGCTGCCTCTGAGGTAGATAAATATAAACAGAGGCTGGGTAAAGTACATTCTACGAGGACTGAAAATAAAACCTTATACACATCCTTAAAAAAAGTAAGCTAAAAGAAAATTTAAATTCCTCTGAAATCATACCAATTTTGGAAGCTCGCCTCGCCAAGAGTAAAGTTTAATTTCCACAAAACCAGTTTTAAACTCTTGGGATATTTTTGTCACTTGTGGTTAAACATGTGATAGATGCAGGTCCCTGGAGGCACTTGGCCCCTGTGTTACATCCAGCGAACACAGCGTCGAGTATCAAATCAACATCCGGGCTGCGTTTGTTTACATCTGCACTTCTCTGTTTCCACCCACATGTGACTCCATTTCTCAGTCTCTGTATCTATCTCGCCTCGTAATGGAGACACAGATTGATACATATTCACTGACACTAGCTGTAGGATCGCGGCACCAGCTGGGGAGTCGTGGCACCAGCTGGGGGGTTGTGACACCAGCTGGAGGGTCGCAGCACCAGCTGGAGGGCCGCGACACCAGCTGTAGGGTCGCGGCACCACCTGAGGGGCCGCGACACCAGCTGGAGGGTCGCGGCACCACCTGGAGGGCCGCGACACCAGCTGGAGGGTCGCTACACCAACTGGAGGGTCGCGACACCAGCTGGAGGGTCGCAGCACCAGCTGTAGGGTCGCGGCTCCAGCTGGAGGGTCGCTACACCAACTGGAGGGTCGCGACACCAGCTGTAGGGTTGCAGCACCTGCTGTAGGGTCGCGGCTCCAGCTGGAGGGTCGCTACACCAGCTGGAGGGTCGCGGCACCACCTGGAGGGCCGCGACAGCAGCTGGAGTGTCGCTACACCAACTGGAGGGTCGCGACACCAGCTGTAGGGTTGCAGCACCAGCTGTAGGGTCGCGGCACCACCTGGAGGGCCGCGACACCAGCTGGAGGGTCGTGGCACCAGCTAAACCGCTGGGAATAACAGTAGACGGCGCGGCGTGTCCGGAATCTTTAAAGACGATGAGGAGCCGTGAGGGAGTCCTGCCCTGCCAGCCACCACACACCAGGGCCCTCACCCACACACCAAGGTCCTTTACCACACACCAGGGCCCTCCACACACACCACACAGATGGCCCTCACCACACACCAGGGCCCTCCCCACACACCAGCCCCCCACACACCAGGGGCCCTCCCCCACACACCAGGGCCCTCCCCCACACACCAGGGCCCTCCCCCACACACCAGGGCCCTCCACCATGCTCACCACAACACATTTCACAATCCCCATCAACACACTCTCCACCAACCCCTGGACTTTCGTAAAAAGCATGATTTGTTTGTGATTATCATACGAATTCTAAATATGTATCCATAATGCATGCATCAACAGATTGATTGATTTGTTTTACTGGCCGTCATTACGACCGACCATCAACAGGGCGCCTCCATCATTAAGTCGATGATCAACACCTGACACAACAACAAGTCGATGATGTTCAGTAAGTTATGCCACCATCAATTAGCCGCTGATACACAAGTCTTTAAACAAGACGTTGACTCTTTCTACCAGACTGACGATATCCTGAGCAAAATAATCAACAAACAGACATAATCAAGTAACAAATCCAAAACAAACAGCCACCATCAGTATATATACGTTTCTTTCAGGATGCATCTAACATTTAGTCAATGGTCCGACATTCTTACATAATAGCAGCAGCCCTTCACTCCAGCGGCCGTAATGACCCAGGCGTTGACGGCCAGTAAATCAACAACAACAACACTCCCTAATTAAATGAATGGATTTCAAATGGCTCATTAAATCAAGAGGCTGGAACATTATAATTTTCTATTCTCGTTTGTCAATTACTGAGAGTTGTGAGGTGAACAGTGGCAGGACTTGGTGTAACGGGTGATTAAGTCTTTTATTTTCTCGAGTGACGCACTGCTGATATTTACTGCTTATGTTGTCAATGTAAGCTTCCGTAACTTTCTAGTGTTATAGTGTAGATGACTGTAGTCTGGCGTGTTGTGTGCCTATACTGATGGTGATTAATGGCGAGGGGGGTGTTCACACGGAACACGAACGAATTCTCACGAAACACCAAAGAATTAACACGAAACACGAACGACCTACCCAACAGACCCTATATGAAGCGTTGGTCTCAAAATCAAGCCACTGGGAGATGTGTATTTCTCGACACTCGACATAATACTAAAAAAAAAATCGTATATATATTTTTTTTGATTGTTTTCCATTCGGATTTGTTTCTAGGTATTTTATTTTTTTATTTGACAAGGTAGCCATCGCTCCTGAAAGGTGTGTGAGTGGTGTACTGACAGGAAGACAGACAGACAGACAGATGCAAAGTCGACATGTTTTCCTACTACTGTATATATCCTGGTAGAAGGTTCCAGCGGGATAAAAAAAGAAAAAGGGAAGCAGGAAACGTGAAGAGAGACGCACTAGCTCAAGAGAGACGCACTAACTCAAGAGAGAGACGCACTAGCTCAAGAGAGAGACGCACTAGCTCAAGAGAGAGACGCACTAGCTCAAGAGAGAGACGCACTAGCTCAAGAGAGACGCACTAACTCGAGAGAGACGTACTAGCTCACGAGAGACGCACTAGCTCAAGAGAGACGCTCTAGCTCAAGAGAGAGACGTACTAACTCATGAGACGCACTAATCCATGAAAGACGCACTAGCTCACGAGAAAGGCGCATTAATTCACGAG